AGCTTCGGGAGTCATCGAGCTCAATCTGTGATAGTGCTGAAGCCACGGAAAGGTTGCTTGAGACATCTGAAGGATGCTAGCCGATACGCCATATGTCAGCAACAAGAAAAAATAAAAACAACAAAAAATAAAAACAACAAAAGCAAGAAAAATGAGAAAAGAACGCTCAGGCCGCATCCAGCCAGGCGGCAGCCGCAGGAGTGTCAAAGAAGCGGGTAGTGTCCCCATCACTTACCTGCAGCCGACTAGGGTATAGAAGGCCATATTGGAGGCCCTTCTCACGCAGCCTCCTACGGATCTCGGTGAAGGATCTGCGTCGCTGCTGTATTTCCGCAGAGTAGTTAGGGAATATAGAGATGCGAGCGTTTTCATATTGAAGTGTAGGGCGACTCCGCGCCGCAGCCAGGACCCGGTCTCTATCCCTGTAGTTCAGCAGGCGGATGAGGAACGGACGGGCCAGTGCCCCCGGTTTCGGCGGGACACGGTGCGCTCTCTCCACCACGAATGTGGGCGGCAGATCCTGGAAATCCAGCAGCTTGGCCAAAAAGTTTTCAGCAAATTCCGCTGGTTGTTTTCCCTCAGCTCGTTCAGGGAGGCCCAGCACACGGACGTTGTTGCGGCGCAGGCGGTTCTCGGTATCCACCGCCTTCTCCTGTAGGCCCCTGAGTTGTCGCTGCAGCAGCTTGACCTCCGCAGAATCCTCTCGCACTGTCTCTTCCACCTGAGAGATCCGGGCCTCAGCTGCCCCCATGCGAGTGCAGAATTTATCCATGTCATGGCGCAGGAAGCCTACCTCGGCCGAGAGCGAGTCAATCTTGGTTGTGAGGGCCTCCTTGCATGATGTGATGGCCGCCAGGATGTCCGAGCTAGAGGGAGAGGAGGTCAATTCAGCTGCGCCGCTCGTCGGTGTTCCCACTGACATCTTGCTGCATTCAGCCAGTACAGCCAAGATGGCCGCCTCTGAGAAACCACGAGGCCTCCCAGACGAACGGGTCGACCTGCTCTTGTTGCGTTTCATGTATGTCCCCGCCGAGGAGGAAATCAGGTAGAGGATGCAGTCGGCAACACCTGACCACAGGTAAGTGAAGGAAATCAGCACCAGGATAGGTTCAGGATGTTAGATTGAGCAGAGCACTCCGTTTGCACGTCTGCACGGGATCACATGCCGGCCACGCCCCCTCAAGCTGCATCTAGTTTAGCCAATTTGTTCCAAGGCAAAGTAGAATCTTCACTAAAAGAAAATCTATGTTTTGACCCTCTAGAAAAAAAAAATATTTTTCTCCTCCCCGAAACCCTGATACATCTGATCATGGAGTGACAAGGACACTTCTTACTCCTTAATGTCAAGTGTCTCATAAATGGCCTTAAAGGAAATTTCCACCTTTGTAAGTGATTGAGTTTTGGGTGGTAATGTAGAGGTGCAGGGGGGATGTACATGTGTGCACATTCTCAGGAGTCACAGGGCTGTTTTTCATACTTTATTTTACAGATTCTGTTACAGGCCAGAGGCCTAGAAATTCAAAATTCCCTCCTCAAGATCTTCAATCCATCTCTCAGAGGGTTGGGTTGTTATCTCTAAACTGCAATCAGCTGTCCTATTGTGCTCTCTGTGTGTTAGAATCTTCTGCACTTGTCCTGTTCTGTAGACCTTCTTTGTGTCCTGTGTGTCTCTCTCGGATCTCTCCCTCTCCTGAGTCACATTTACTCTCTGCTGCCCCAAGTCCAGGTTCCTCAATGGTGGAAATGTCCTTTAAGGAGATCAACATCTTCCAGGGCAAGTTTAGAGAGTTTAGCATTTCTGTTAGCATTTCTGCCTGTGAAAACCTTTCACCAGGGGATTTCACCTGATGAAGCTTTGCCAAAGAATCCTCATCCTCCGCTTCTGTTTTTGCATACCCCATGCTTGATGATTGAACCGGAAGGCACTGAAACTGCATGACTCGGAGGCTTAAGGTCAGGAAGGACCTGAAGAGCTGAAACGTAGAGGACAATGCTTCCATGAGACATAAAATCCTTCAGTTTAAAGAGGATTCTTCACAAGCCAAGTTTTCTACACAGTTCAGGCACAAAGGTTTGCTCCAAGTGCTCCTCAGTTTAACGTTATAGGAAGCACATTTATTCTTAGCAAATGGTTGTTTTTAGGAGTGTTTGGGCCTGCAAAATACATAGAAAAAACACTTTCATGACCATAGCCCAAAAACGCACCTTGGTGCAAAACAACCAAGACAACAGTGCCAAAAACTACAGGCTACCAAGCCCAACACCATCAAGGGGCCAGCCCCCCTCTCTCTGTATTCTGAGGCAGGAAGCAACTGCACCAACGCCTATTCCCCAGCCCCGACCTCACTAGTAGTGACATCATCCGCGTCTTCAACTTTAGGAAGGAGGGAGGAAATAATGCTTTACCACAGGAAGCTAAATCAGGGGAGGTCCTGGATTCTCCTGAATTTTGAAGATGCAGATGAAGCTCCAGACCAGACCCCGACATGTGAAGGTCATCCAGGGAGCAGCTTAAAAAAAAAAAAGTACCCAGGGAAGGAAGCACTGCCGATGCAGCACAAGTGAGAGTAAGCCTTCTGCCCCCCATTTATAAGGAAAATACCAAAGTCATGCTCTCAGAAAAAAAAAGAAAAATGTGCCTACTGCTTAGTAGTATCGC